CACACACACACACACTCACACGCGCACACACACACACGCGCACACACACACACGCGCACACACACACACACAGTCTAAGTCTCAAGTCATTCAGCGCCAGAAACGTCAATGTAAACTTAAGCACTGCTCTCTGAGTGTTGATCTCCGACCTGACACTTGCTCTGATTATATGTTACTGCCTCATTCATTCGTTCATTCTCTCCAGCAATGTTTTGGTTTAATATACTTCTCAGGCTGTGATCTGTGTTCGAGTGGCTCTATGAAAGCACACACACACTCATGCAGTGAAGCGGTTCAGATCCAGCGGCTCTGATGGGCTTTGCAATCTTTCTGTCTCAGCTGTGCTTTCATAAGCTGCTCTGAACATAAAGCTGAAGTTCATACTCACGTATTGCGCCGTCTCATCCGTGTCCCTCTAAAGGCACGGCAGCAGGACGACACGCACAGAGATGTGAGAGAATCAGTGATGACCAGGCGGCGCGTAGGAGGAGGAGAAGAGGGTGAGATTCATTTAGTGAAAGGACAGAATGGACGAGCAGTGAGCAAGAGAAGAGATGAAGTGAGACGCAGAGTGAGATTCATTCAGTGTCTGTTCATTCAGATCAGACTGATTCTGTACAGGCAGTATAAATAATACATAGCATTTATTGTTATTTTGAAAGCAGTTTTGGCCAGTATCGTGTAAAAAGCTTGAAAGTTTTACGAAACTGCATCCATGACCCATTTCACTTCTGTCATGTGATGCATTTCTGAGCAAAACGAGATATTGAATGAGAAATAAATATAGGTCAGGCCGTGATTTTCTCCTGCTGGACTGATGTGAAAGTGTGTTTCATATCAGAATGTGAGTGTGGATCTGCATCAGAAGCGTAATTCAGAATAACGGCTGCTGATGAGACGATCACAGGAAGATGAGGAACACGTATTAAGAAAGGAAATAAGATCAATTTTACATTTTATGTTGACTGAAAACATGAATGAATAAAGACCCAAAAGCAACAAAACCTCACCATATATCATCTTAGATGAGGTCATTTGTAACTTGAATGTGCCAGTCGATTCCAGTTATTTTACCTTTATTTTTAACGATCACATTGTTTTAATTTATCATCATTATCATAAACATTATATTGTGCTTTGCTATTCTTTTACTTACCTATAGTGGCTAACGAATCGTAAGTCTTTACCAGAAAAGCAAATCAAGGTTGAATAATGGTCATATATTGCTGAGGGTGCGGCGCGGTCTGCGGGGTCATGACCTCACCTGCTCATCGTCCAGCATCATGTCTTTGATGCGCGGCAGGCCTAGCGACTCCCCGTGCTCCATGCGCGCATAGTGAACCTGGTAACCACGGATCTGCCCGTTCCGTTGCCCTGGAAACACGGTGCGCCACGACACTTTAACAGACGTGCTGTTGATGGGCTGGACTTCCACCTGACGGGGCGGAGCTCTGGGCACTGCGCACACACACACACACACACACAGCCTAGTCTGACGTCACTGCAGAACCTTCAAAGAACCAGTACAAAACATCCTCACACGGCAGCTTTAGGGTGTGTTCACACTTGTAGTTCAGTGTAGTTCTCTTGGTCCAGACCAACAATGACACATTTAATTCAGGTTTGCTCAGCAGTTACACTGTCAATGATAAACGGCTTAAAGGGGTCATGAACTGAGAAACCAAAATTCCCTTGATCTTTTGACATATAAGAGGTCATTGTACTATAAAAACATGCTGTAAGTTTCAGAACTCAAATCTTTGTCATTAGTCTAAACCAGCTTATACTGAAGGCAGTCAGCCAAAACTACAGCTTGTGGAATGTTCTACTCTATGATGTAATAGTGTGGATAAACCCCGCCTCTGCAGAAGATTAACGCCTGCTTCTACATCGCTGCCTGTTTAGCCCCGCCCACTGATTCGCACATGTAGTGTTTAGGAGAGAGGCGAACGCGGGTCTACACAGAAACTAAATGATAAAGATGCTCCGAAGACGACAAGACACTGTGCAGTGCCAAGTTGTGTAAAAACATCGCCTTCCTTCAGATCCCAACGTTAGAAAAGAGTGGATGAACTTTATTTTTAATGAAGTTCCAGACCGCGTCAGTGAGAACTCCTTTGTTCACTTCATTTTACAGCGGATTCGTTTACAAACAAAGCACAATTCAACGTGGGATTTTCAGAAAGACTGAAACTAATAGACGATGCTGTCGACTACTGGATCTGACTGTAATGTCGCAACACAAGTGTAACTGTTTTCATGACGTGATCACTACTGCTTTGTCTGTTAAACAGTTTGATGTGAGTATTTATGTGTTTTTAACCTAAATCACAGCAGCGTCCATCTGTGAAAGATGTAGACTGTCAATCATACACAACTGTTAGCCAATCACAGCAGTGGGTGTTTACTTCCGACTCTACAATCCTCCACGCCTATCCAAACAGCGTTCTGATGAGGAGGGTTAAAACAGGACAGAAAATAGCTTATTACTTGTAATTTTCAACCAAATTGAAGTGAGTTTGGGCTTAAAACAAAAACAAACATCTGTCAGTGCTTAACTTTATCCACAGGGAAAACAAGCTTATTTTTCTGAGCCCACTGGCAGATGTTTTTTGCTGGTTGAAGCAAAAACTCTGTTTTTATTGATGCATGTTTTTCAGAAAACAAGACTTAGTCCCTTAAGTCATTTTGCTTTAAGTAAATGTTTAGATATTTGTGCTGGAAAACATGACAAAAATACTATGTGAGAAAATAATGTTTTGCAGTGTGCCAAGTGTGAACACAACCTTAAAGAACTCAGAAGCCAAAAGGCTGATCTGAAGAACCTTTAACAAAACATCAAGATCTCCAAAGAACCACCTGAAGAACCTAAACAGACCTGAAGAAGAGGGATCTAATGCTGGACCACTGATATGAGATTTTACCATCTTCATCCGTTCTGCACTCTACAGCCGCGCTCTCCGGTCCGCCGCCCTGTGCCGTGATCGCCGCCACAGTCACGCGGTACCGACTCCAGCGCCGCAGGCCCGTCAGCAGCGCCCGGCCCGTGCCCGGCTCCAGACGCAGCGTCTGCGGGGACTCACCACCGCTCCCGTACCGCACCTCGTACCCCAGCGGCTCCTCCACGGCCGGGGCCCAGCTCACCGACAGCGAGGTGGAGCCAGCGGCGGAGCAGCGGAGATCGCGCGGGGGAACCGAGGGCTCTGACAGGAAGAGCGGAGGAGCGGAAAAGAGTCGAAAATAAAACACAGTAAGGAAAGATCATTGAGGAAGGTGGAGGAGGGTAAAGAAACAGAAATGAAGCAAAATAAATCAATACAACATAAAGACGAACACAGAGGATGAGATTCACAGGCTGCAAAAATAGTGTAGATGGAAACAGATCAATAAAACTAATTATGAGGCTCGAATTACATTCAACTTGAGAGATAAATGATGCAAACAAAGGAAGAATGAAGCAAAATGAAATGAAAGATGTGTTGTGATGCAGCGATGGAGGAATAAAGCGCCTGTCTGTCACGAAACAAGCATCCGATCAACATATTGACCAGAACAAACAACCTAATTAAAGCACCGCCGAGCCTGTAACCGATAGCAGCGCTGTTGCCATGGAAACACGCTTGATGGATGGAGCGACGCTTCGGTCCAGGATCAGAATTCCTGACCAGATGGTGACAGACGGTCCGACTGAAACCCATCGGGGTTACGGAGGAGTTTCTGTTTACAAAGTTCCTCCTTTAATTAGAAATCTGACGAGGTTCTGCAGCTCTGTGTATAAGCTGGGTTTCGTAAAACCAACACTCTAAAAGATCTTCTGTGTGTGAACATACATATAAGAACAATACATGTTATGCATGAGATCCACACACTTCACCTCCTACTCTTATAGTGAATAATCAGGATGAATAGCATTTGTCTTCCTCAAGTTTCTGATCACTCAACAGACATCAGATAAAAGCGTCTGCTAAATGAATAAATGTAAATCTGCCTGACGACAAAGTTACAGCTTTGTTTTAATAACCCTGTAATGTCAGAAAGCATCTGGTGAAAGCAGAGCATCGCTGCACTGACTCTGATCCCAATCATTCTGACGTTTGTACTCGAGCGGTTGTGAGCGCTAAAGCAAAAGAAATCACAAAAACTCGACTGGATGCAGATCTAATGAGAACAAAACAACAGAAACTAGAAAATAAGGAATCAGTCTGGAAAACGTGTGAAGAGAAGCTGATGATGTAGAGTACATACCTGCTCCTGCGTACGGCATACGGACCTTCTTACCATCACACACACACATTACACTGACTCACACACACACACACACAGTTGCCTTAAGCATTTTTTTCTGAGCTGAAGTGTCGGCCGAAAATGAGCGTATATAATTGTGGGTATTCTCTGTCATTAATACTGCGGTTAATGTGGGGCTTTGGTCTCCGTCAGTGTAATTGACTGAAACCTTTCCAGACGAACGGCACAATGAGAGCTGAGAGAGTTATTAAAAATAACAAGGGATCCGAGACGTTCTCAAAATCAAAGTGATAAGGTTCTCGCCGCATTTGGCTCCACGGACCCCACGACCGGCCCCTGTTCTCTGCACACACACGCTCGTGTAACACAATAATTAAACTGACTTGGAATAATTAAATTATCTTTATAGAATACGACATGTAAAAATGACCTGCGGCTGTGTAATTGCTTTCAAAAACTGTTATCTGCACCAATGTCAGAGGAAGTGCGAGGATAATTGGGCTCATGTGCGTTTGTGCTGGAGCCTCGGTGAGATGCTCAGAACTTCAGCACAACCTACAGACTCACAACTGACGCTACAGCAACATGCTGGACCAGAGAACAGCTGAAAACCCCACAGACAAGAACACCCTGGCAACCACATAACAACACACCAACATCTGCTCAGAACACCTGAGAAAACGCATAGCAACAGCTTGGCAATGACCCAGAGTACCCTAGAAACTATCCACAACACCCTAGCAACCACTTATAACCACAGACACCCCTTAGCAACCACTCACAAACCCTAATAACACCCTAGCAACTGTTCCCAAATGCCTAATAACACCCTAGTGACCGCAACACCCTAACAACTGTTCCCAAACACCTAATAACACCCTAGCGACTGCAACACCCAAGCAACTGTTTCTAAACCCCAAACAACACCCTAGCGACCGTAACACCCTAGCAACTATTCTCAAACCCCTAATAACACCCTAGCGACCAAGTATAACCACCCACAACACCCTAGTAACCACAAAACCCTAGCAACTGTTCCCAAACCCCTAATAACACCCTAGTGACCACAACATCCTAGCAACTGTTCCCATACACCTAATAACACTCTAGCGACCACAACGCCATAGCAACTGTTCCCAAACGCTTAATAACACCCTAGCGACCGCAACACCCTAGCAACTATTCTCAAACCTCTAATAACACCCTAGTGGCCATGTATAACCACCCACAACACCCTAGCATCCACAAAACCCTAACAACTGTTCCTAAACCCCTAATCACACCCTAATGATTACAACACCCTGGCAACTGTTCCCAAACCGCTAATAACACCTTAGCGACCATGTATAACCACCCACAACACCCTAGCAACTGTTCCCAAACCCCTAATAACACCCTAGCAACCATGCATAAACACCCACAACACTCTAGCAACCACAAATGCTAGCAACTGTTCCCAAACCCCTAATAACACCCTAGTCACCACAACACCCTAGCAACTGTTCCCAAACACCTAATAACACCCTAGCAACCATGCATAAACACCCACAACACCCTAGCAACCACAAAACGCTAGCAACTGTTCCCAAACCCCTAATAACACCCTAGCAACCATGCATAACCACCCACAACACCCTAGCAACCACAAAACCCTAGCAACTGTTCCCAAACCCCTAATAAAACCCTAGCAACCGCCTCTAACCACCTGAAGCGGATCAGAGCTCAACCTCACAACCTGTAATATGGTAAACTGGTGAAAAGCCCCCAAAGCACACAAATATAACAAAAGCACACCATTAACCTCTCTCACTGCCATTACTCTGAGCTGTTTGGTGACCATATGCTGTTTGTGCAGCTCAACTAAAACAGCCCAGAACACAACAGAACAACTTCAATTCATACCGTTTGTCTGCAATCAAAGGAAGTTCATCAGAGTGTCAAAGTTCAACACTGCAGGACTGTGTTTGATATCCAGACTCAGTCAAGCTCGATCAGACGCAGTTCCATTCACAGATCCGGCTATCAGGATGGTTTAGTGGAATAATGAGAAGAGTCTTATGGACCGCGGCGATGGTTCGTCATCCTCACTTACCGTTAACCGTCCTGGAAAACACAAGCTTTACCAGCAGTACTGAAGAGCTGCATGACACCTAAGAGGAGCACTTCATCATCAGCACAGACACAACATCACACACACTGCTGGAGTTACGATCACTTCACTGGGTCCTGAGCTGAAAAGACATTAAACTAAAGGAGGAAAAGACGAAAGAAAGAGGTAAAAGGGCAGAAACTGAAAACACAAATCCCATCCAATCTGGTGGTGGCTTTAACTTCTGCTTGTTTTTCAATCATCTACTGGAAATACTTGTGGACATATACATCTCACACACCAATGCACTTCACAATGACACATAGATGGACAGACAGATGGATGGATGGAGGGGGAAAGATGAATAAACAGATTTGGGGGGAATTCAACCACTTTTGTGCCCTGTGCACTGGCAGCCAAGATTGCGTTTCTCTTCTGTTTTCACTCTGAAAATGATGACTGAGAAACTACAGATTAAACATCCAATCAGGGGGATTCATACTCTACACCAGCCCCGCCCCCTTCCCATCCAGACCAACAAAACCATCAAAACCAATCAAGAGTCACAGACAACAGCAGAAGGCATTGACTGCAGCTGTGGATGGAGAAACCGAGGGAGGTTTGGTGCAGAGAGATGTTACTGTGACGTACACCGTAAGAAAACAGACTGTCAGGTGAAATACGGTAACAGCAAAGTCTTTTTAAGGGGTCTCACACATACTTGCTTGTGCCGTGCGTTGATTGATCTCGTTGGTGAACGCGCCGATGCCTTTATTGGAAACGGCAGCCAGAGAGAAGGTGTACTCAGTGTTGGCGCGCAGACCCTCCACCACATACGATGTTCTGGGCTCAAAATTCCTCTTCTCCTGTTTGTTTGAAAGATCAAAGACTCTTTTGTTTACATTTATGCATTTAGCAGATGCTTTTATCCAAAGTGACTTGCAATTTTTCAATATTTGAACAATCAGGGTCGGAGCTAGAGGGTGCCCCCACTTTGCCCCCCCGGCCTATGATTTGAAGGCCAAAAGTGTTTCTTATGGCGCTTTTCCACTGCGTGGTACGACTCGGCTCGGCACGGCACGGTTTGCGTTTCCACTGCAGTTCAGTACCGCTTTAGAGTGGGTGGGATTATTCACATGTCATTGTAGTTGCGCCGCCTCTACTACCACGACTCCTAAAAAAACGTTTTCATTCCGCGTCGCCCCATCAAGCTCTCGCTGGATCCGCTCCTCTGCTATCAATGAGAGGAACGTCTGTTCTTCCTCAACAGACAACAAAACTTTTTGGTTGTTAAAAAAAGGTGCGCTTGTTCAAAACAGTTGCGTTCGATCCTTCGCTGGCTGTGCTGATTTAAATCTAGCGGTTCTTTTGTGTTTGTGGCACTAGTTCAGTGACGCAGGTAGTGACGATTCTCTCTGGCCAATCCGTGATCTGCAGAGTTTACACGTCACGTTTTGGTAACGGTACGGTTCACTTGGAACCCCAACCGAGGTGGTACTAAAAAAAGTACCAGGTACCAGGTACTGTACCCAGTGGAAAACCCCCAAAAAGTGAACCGTACCAAGCCGTACCATGCAGTGGAAAAGCGCCATTAGTGGAGCACATTCTCACCTGAATGCCGAGCTCTGGAGCTTTGTAGATGAGTTCGTAAGCTTTCACGGGCTCTTTGGAGTAAGCAGGTACCCAGGTTAACTCGACGTTGGTGTCGGTCACTTTACCCACCTGGAACTTCCCTGGCTGCCCAGGAACTGAAATGCAGATCAGGAACGCATTATAAACCTGCTTTAAAATAGAGCACATCATTCATTAATGGAGTGACACAAAGGGCCAGTTTTACTAAACGGGCAAAATTAGTGCAAGAGCGCAATTCCAAAACAGCGACAATGGGTGTGGAAATTTCTGCGGGTGATTTACTGTCAATGTGCAAATTAAAGAACACAGACGCAACATCTCATTTACATATCGACCAACGCAATATACCAAGCACAGCACAAATTAGCGTAGTCGCAAATAAGCAGAGCCGATACTCATCAGGTGCGGGTGATCTACTTACAACACAGGCACAAAATAGTTTAAGACATTATGCCGCAAACGTTAGTAAATCGCATTTTAATACTCTACTCCCATAAATTTTGATTGAAATTTTGAGTCTGAAAGGGAAACTCCTACAAATGGATATTCAATAAGGTCAGGTTTAAAAATAACTGTCCATGCCTTTTCAGTGCTAATTCTTCACATCTTTAGTAAATTCTGACAGTACTAGTTTAATGCCCATAGGTGGGCTTCACTGAGAGTTGCATATGGATGTGTATGATCACAGGAACGTGTTAAGGTGTGGTCACATTTATGGTTTCTCTGGGGTGAAATCCATTCATTCCAATAAGAATCTGTGTGATCACTTGATTCAGCTCAAACTGGGATTCAGCCAGCCAATGAACAGAAATATGCTTGGTTTGAAACTTACTTCTTTGTGAGCAGTGCTTCATGCATCTCTATATTATTGACAATGGATCTGACTTCTCTTTTTCAGCTAACGTGACAGCACATTTGATCTGCAGGAGTGTATTTCCTCAATCGACTGTTTCTCTACAACTCACCTCCAGGTCTGACTTTGACGTGGACGGGGTCAGAGAAGGGCCCATCTCCCACGGACGTAAACGCCAGCACACGGATGGTGTACGTCTCGGACGGCACGAGGCTGTGGATGGCCGTTATCATGCTGTCCTGAACGTTGTGGATCTGCCAGTTGCTCATCGGCTGCGAAGGGTCCATGGTGTAATAAACTCGGTAGCCCTTGATCAAGCCGTTGGGCTCCTCCGGCTCGTCCCAGCGCACCATCACTGCGTTCTGTGATAAGATGCGCGCCTGGATGTTCCGCGGCGGGCTGGCGGGCGCTTGCTCTCCGGTCCGAGCTTCCACTTTGTTGCTGGGTGTCCCCTGACCGATGGTGTTGACGGCGGACACGCGGATCTCGTACTCGGTGTTGGGGTACAGGCCGCCGATGCTGTAGCGGGTGGTGGTGATGGAGTCCACCGTCTCGTACTTGCTGTCTGGGGATTTGGCACGGTACTGGATGATGTAATAGGAAACAGGGTCGGGGTTACCGGAGTCCCAGGTGATGGTGATGCTGGTGGGGGTCGTCTCCGTGACGACAGGGGTGCCAGGAGCTCTGGGCAAAGCTGCAAAGAGAGCAGAAAAGTGCACTGCTCAAAGGTTGATCATTCCTCAGGAGATTCACAGTTAAGTTTGAGAGATTGTTGAGATCTCTTCTGAACTCTACAGGAGGATACACCAGAAATTAAGGGTCTGAAAAGCAGGATATTTCAAGGTTTTCTAGGTTAAACAAACAAGATATCTAGAGATCAATATGGGCCGCTTACAGAATGTCTGGAAACTCATGCTTTTGCTTCAATTTACTTTTGGGGAAGATTTGCAAATTTGTAAGTCAATAACATAATTGTGACCCATACAATGTATTGTTGGCTATTGCTACAAATATCCCCCAGCGACTTAACACTGCTTTTGTGCTGCAGGGACACACACATATATATATATATATTTTTTAATATTATTAATATTTAAGAAATTTAAAATAATTTCAAAATGAATTAATAAATGTGTATAATAAACATACTTTTACTTTAGATGACAACGTCTTGATTATTACAGTATTTTTCACAAATAAAGAAATATTTTAAATATATATATAAAAAAAGGAGGTAAACAACAGGGCACTCAGTAATCTGGGACGTTTGTGTGCATTAAGAATCTTTTTTTTTTTCAGCTAAAGCCAAGGTAAAGGTTCAACTAAAGCTAATTTTACATACAGCACACATTGAAAATGACATGAATGGCTAGTGAATAAAGCGCAACCTAGATTGAAACCACGAGTTTAAATGACCTTTCCTTACACTTAACAATAACTTGTGCCACGGACTCAATGATTCCCAGGCTGCTCATGGCGACGCAGGTGTAGTTGGCCGACTCGCGCACGCCGTTCAGCTCCAGAACGTTTCGTCCCACGGGCATCTCTTCCTCCGGCGTCAGGTCCTCAGAATTCAGCATCCACTTCACGTAGGGCATCGGAGAGCCGACCGCGACGCAGGTGATGTTCACGCTGCCGCCTGGCATGATCTCGTGGCTCACGGGAGGGATGGTGAAGCGAGGGGGAACGCGCCGAACTGGAGCACAAACACAAGGAAACAGAGGAGGACCAGGTAACAATGACAGAAAATGAACGTTCTGGTGAAAGACTCATATTCAAGCTGGCAATGCATCATTACAGCTAAAAGGACAAGTTGCTAAATATAAGCGCTGGCTAGCAGATGGAACGGAATAATACTGTGTAAGGAGCCGGAGAATCTGAATTCGAGCTAAAGGTCAAAGCCGTGTTTTCGCCCATTTCTACAGGCGCATCTCTCCATCGTCCTCGTTACGTTCACAGACATTTCTGCGAGGATGAAAAACACAGGCGTTTAACGCAGACGCTTCTCTGTTCTCATTCTGAGCTCAGCTGGGAGGCAGAGAAACTGTAATGATGCATATTTATTAAAACCCGCTCTGTCTGAACGAGCTCGATTTCGGTCCGCTTCCCATAAGCCTTTAGAAACCTAAATGAGATGCTGCTGCCCTCAGGGACGACGGAGAGCGACCAATGAAGCCTTTTCAAGCTCTGTGATCAATGGCTGCAGATATCGGCTCTATAGACCCGCGCTGGGAAAGGGGCTGGTTTCGTTCGAGAGCTGCATGGGTCACCTGCATGCCTGAACACGACACGACAGCATCGAGGGAGACCGCTAAACACACACACACACGCAAACCTAACAGCCGTGAATCATTTCTGCACCTACTAGTCAATATGTTAACTAGCGGCTTGGAGCATGCTACAAAAAGGCCATAAAACTAGTCCAGTGCTTCTCAACTGGTTTTGCTACATTGAGACAGAACCCTGTTACAGTTTTTTTTCAGCTGCTTACACAAATAACCTTCACTCGTCACACAGTTTCTGAAAGCTGACACTCAAACAGCAGAAACACACCAAATCTGCAAAACCAGACACTAATACTGGATCTTTGACTCGGTTTTCAATTTCATTTTGCAAAACACAACACACTATTCTCTATGTAACGCACTAAAATCTAACAGGAATTAATATTATGGCAAAGCTGTTTGCAAATGTTTGCTTTTGAGACGTGTTTGTGATATTTTGAATGCAGCGCTTCATTTTGCAAAAGATGAGAGGCATTTTGCGTGCAATTCTTGGATTTGTGTGTAAAGTTTTGAAAATGTGTGTAAGCAGCGTGTGTGCGTGCGTGCGAGTGTGTGTGTGTGTGTGTGTGAGTGAGTGTGTGTGTGAGTGTGTGTGTGTGTGTGTGTGTGTGTGTGTGTCTGCTGCGATATTCTAGGACAAATCAGATTCTTCTGCAGCAGAATCTAACGCTCCGCAGGGAAATACTGTGTTTACTCCTGGAAGATCTACATCTGACTGCGGAAATAAATAAATAAATAAAAGAGACGGCGAGCAAATGTGAGAAACGATGGAAGTTATGCTAATCCACTGAGTTAACGTGGAGCGCTGCCAACCCCGCATCCAGAAACAGAGATGAAATGCATGAGAGAGAGAGAGAGAGAGAGAGAGAGAGAGGGAGGGGGAGA